GTTTGAAATCTGAGCCAAATTCCGCTGACATGAACTGCGAGTTATCTGTGTTAGATCCATTGACGACCGCGTCATAGATGTCATTTTTTTGGCTTATGTAAGTTTTTGAAAAACTAAAACAACACCTCATGCCGAGCTCGGTAAAGAAGCAGGTGAAAAGTAACTGCCTTGGTAAGTGCTTGAGTGATGTTGGAATGAACGAATCACGCAAGTGAGCAAACGAATGCGGAGCCCCACCACCACGATCTAGTATAAGGAGCGCTGTCGCATACGCCAAATAGAGCACAAAATGGGCCGGACAATAATGCACTACAATTGGGGGACGAAAGTAGTAACAGATTGGATACCACAGAACGTCAAACGCGAAAGAGGAAGACCGTCGACGCTTGGCAGATACGTTAAAAGAAAGTCCTCTAACGAACTCCTTCAGAGCATTTCACGCCTTTGGTGCGATAGGTAATCACTGGTCAATAACTGTTCTCGAGAACAAATGGAGGCATCACTGGTAAGCGCTCGTATTGATCCTCGAGAAGCACGTGATGCTTTTGAAAATCCGAGTCAATGCTTCAACACTATGTTTAGCCAAAAATTGCCTTTCAAAAAAAAATCTGACAGAGAAGTGGGAGGCATAGGCCATCAGCCATCAATTAGCCTAAGAACTTGACGTCTGCACGCGGGGACTTGCAGATATCTTACAGATTGCCTCCTGGTAAAGGCAGCAATTTGGGTAATCTCTCGAGGTGTGATGTAGGCTCAAACACGTTATGGCTATGTGCCTAACAAAAAACTGACAATGAGCATGAGACCTCGAAATAATTATTTATTCACCTAAAATATTCTACAGATTTTTAATGTATACTTATGAGATTTTATATCAAGCATTAGTCAGTGGTAGCGTAATGGAACAGCAGAGATGTTTTTATGACTATGATTGGACATTTTTGAGTTTAACTACTGTTTGATTTCGTTGTTTCATTGCTCCTCATTTTTTGCCAATGCCTTTGTAGATACATAAAGGCATGTAAGGCTCGAGTGAGGTTCTGCGGCACTGCGAGCCTGGCTTTCCTTGTTTGTAAGGCTTAGTGTCGCTCTTATCTTCAATCCTGAAATATTTGGATTATCAATAAGGTTTGTTAGATTCACAAGGAATACTTACGTGCTGCCAAAAACACAAACAAGTTTTTGGTTGCCTCCTTTTTTAGAAACTTCACATCCAACATGTGTGAAAGTGTCGGTTAAAAGCTGAGGATATTCAAGATTAGGATAGATAGTTTGAACTTCCAAGGGATGATGCTCATCCACCTGCTTTTCCGCATCCCGAAGAGAACTTGGATCGGTGAGCTTAGCCCTTGCCACGTCAAACGCAGCCTTCAATGACATTTAGGATCATAACTGGTTTTTGTTGACTCCATACCTTAATCACTTCTTTTGTTGACTTAGTTGAGGCGTCCATGTACTCGTAAAATCCGTTGCCAGTGTGTGCTTGCTCGAAGTTCGATGTCTTTTCAATATGATTCTTTGCAATCTTTTGTAATATACAGTTCCACTGCTGAAAGATTAGAACTATTGATTTTTGTCTCACGAATAACCCATAATGCATCCGAATTTGCCTCTAAAACGGTAACTGCATGCTGTTTCGAAAAACGGTTGAAAAATCCGCCTTATGTCGGAGGCTCTATGGTTTATTTTTGTAATCGTGCGACGAGTTTTACTGCGGTCTTTGCCCACACAGGAGCATAAAACACCCTTAGAAGCAGGCATCACCTCAATGTTTAGCTCAGTCACTTCCAGTGTGTGACTACCAAAAAAGCATTTGAGTAGAAATAGGAACTACCATCGTCAAATTTTTCAAAATGCTCTATATTTTTGAATGATGCAAAAGAAGGTCTGTCACAGGAGTGTCCGCCAAATCTCACAGTTTTTATAGAACTACTTTTTTTTATAACCTTACTTTGGACAGCCCCTCAAGGTTGGTCCCTGCGCAAAAGCATGCAAGCCGATGCAAATTGTCTGCCAATATCGTGGCGGGACATCTGAGCACTTTTTTACATTAACCGTCACTACTGCTAAAACGCTGCCGCTCCTTCACTATTGCATATATAGAGCGGTCGTTCTTTCAGTCAGTTTCGTCACAAGGCACACCGATGAGCGGTCATTTACATATTTTTTGAAAGAGCACAGCATCCACGATGCGTGTCTCAAGCCTGAGAACATTTCACTAGCAAGCTCATTTCTGCCTGTCATAGATGAAGGGAGAAATTGCCCCGGTCAATTTTTCAGCTATCTCAGGCACATAGGAATATTGCTTTTCATTTCGAAAGTAAGATCTGCAGCTGTAACGCAGGTAAGAACTGCAACTGTAACAATAACAACATTCCTCTAAAGCTTCCAGCACACGCTTGAGTATCTGCGAACCTTCTATGAAGTTCATAATCAACTAACAATTTTGTACATCGCCGCTGCAGTTGGCATGAATCCTTCTCCTGACGCTTTCCTTTCTTTGCCTCTTGCCACATTTCTGCGCAATTCGTTCAAATGGAAGAGAAGATAGAAGACTTCACTGTTTGTCATTTTTCCTCCGCACCTCTTCGCCATATCTGTTCTGCATATTACCGCTGAAAGCATTCGATTGGTCGCATTCCAGTCGGCAGTGTCGATCACTTACGGAGCACTAGAGCAATAAAGATGAAGAAGAATATGTACAGGAGTATTGTGAGACGAACAAGCAACGGTAGTTTTGCCACTCCTTCAAAGAATGACCTTGTCCCTGGCGAAGAGCGACTGGTACGAGTAGGCGTGGAAGGAGCAGGTGTTCCTGCCATAGATAAAACTATTCAAATGAACTTGCCTTCCACATGGAGGGCTAGAGTTGCTTCATTGATTACAATGATTCAGTGAATGTGCATAGCATATTGCATTTTTAGTGACTTTTTACTTTTAGCAGTCGTGACCACGCTAAAAACATTGTTCATCATTGCCACTTTCGCATATGATGTTTGCTAGTCGATTTACGATCTAAATGTTGTGAATTTCACGCTAAAAGTATATCGGCTATGGTACTCGCTGATTCAACCAGGTAGACAGCATGAGGGCGGGGCTTCGATCGATTAGAGAGCACGTAAGAGTGAGAGACGCATGCTCTGCATCTCCCTCTCGCGCATGCTCTCTGAGCATTTTTTAGCTTTGATTAGGTCACGAAGCCCTGCCCTCCAGTCGCCTATCTGGTTGAATTGGAGGGTATACTTTGTACCGACCATTGGTTTTTTACTCCCATACGAAATCCAACACGCCTCTTGTGTCCTGTGCACCCCAACTTCTGCTCCTGGTGACGTCTGACGCCAAATATCAAATCTAATGTCTTACTTGTGAGTACACAAGGGCCTTTCCGTTCCTCGATGTAGTCATGCGCGCACTTTACATGTGAAAATGATAACGAGCAAGCACATACTGCTCTCAACATTCAGCTAATATAGTCTCTTGTTACACATGCGCTACCATATGCTCTCTTGCGTACAAAGCACTCTTGAGGAAGATGGCAGTAGTTCCTAAAATCCTGGTTTACGTACGCACGCCCTTATCGCTCTACTCAAAGGCAGTGTCCGAACAAGGTTGGGGGGTTGAGAATTCGTTCCTTGCAGAAGTGGGCTCCTCAGGACATCGCGCAAACCCGAGGCCACATTTTTGGACCAGAAGCAAGAGAACGGTCGGAAAGTTGGGAAAACCTAAGCCCTGAGTGCGTACCTTCCCGACTGTGGATTCACTTGTCTGCTGCAGAATAGCTTGCCTCCATGGTCAAAGTCATAGGGTCCCGCAGCGAGTCCGTGTCTCAGCCTCGGCGGGAACTGTCCAAATCGTTTTGTTACAGACGCTGTCTCGCCGTTTCCGCCCTTTCTAAAATGGATATCGGATTCAGCGCTCGGATAGCCTCAGGTAGGTGAGTTTCCTGGAAATCGAATCCTTGCCCGGACACTGCCTTTAACTCATCCAAAACAGAATGATTAGGATACTGAATGGCACCTTTGCCACACACTCTATTATACTGCCGTCGCTGTGACATCCTTAGCCCGTTGGGTAGTAACAGATCTACTCTTTTTCCTCCGATAAGCTCGGCTGGAGCTCAGCTCGCTGTGCCTCGCGAAACGATCTCTGAAAATTCCTTTAGGCAAGACGGGGCATGAGAGCTTTTTGGTCGACGAATTCTCTGTGTTGGATGGCGCGGATCATCGACCTATCAATCTTCAGTGGCGGGAAAAGAGAGGCGGATCTGATCTCTCAGCAGG